CAAGCCTTAGCTTGGTTGTTTCTTGCCAGCTTTCCTTAACTTGTCCCATCTACCCTTTGCCTCTGGGCTTTTCCTATTCTCTTACTTCTATAAATCTTACTCTTACTCCGTGGCTTGCTATGTAGCTGTGTGGCTGTGTGGCTGGGTGGCTGGCCCCTGAAGTTCTCTTCCTTCTTCTCTCATTCCTTCTTCTTCCTCTCTCCCAGATTTCTCCTGCTAATTATCCTCTCTGGCTGCCAACCTCGCCTATCCTTTCTCCTGCCTCACTATTGGCCGTTCAGTTCTTTATTAGACCATCAGGTGTTTTAGACAGGCACAGTAACACAGCTTCACAGAGTTAAACAAATGCAACATAAATGAAAGTAACACACCTTAAAATAATAATCCCCAACAGGATTTCTCTGTATAACAGCTCTAGCTGTCCTAGAACTCACTCTGTAGACTAGACTGGCCTGGAACTCAGAGATCCACCAGTCTCTGCCTCCCAAGTGCTGGGATTAAAGATGTGCACCACCCCAGCCTTGCTTTCCAAGTCACTTTTTTTTTTTTTTTTTTTTTTTGGTTTTCGAGACAAGGTTTCTCTGTGTAGCTTTGCGCCTTTCCTGGAACTCACTTGGTAGCCCAGGCTGGCCTCGAATTCACAGAGATCCGCCGGCCTCTGCCTCCCGAGTGCTGGGATTAAAGGCGTGCGCCACCACCGCCCGGCTCCAAGTCACTTTTAAGTAATCATTCTTGGTGAAAATTTCACAAGAATAAATAAGTTTGAATCTGAGCTTGTTTTGTTCATATTTTTTTCCAGCATCATGACATACTGAGATTCTCTTTTGGGATCCTGGTATTTCTTGTGATTCACCCACCTTCAATCAATTCCCTAGGTTTTGTACTTAATCTTCTCATTTTTTTTTCTCCTGAAACAGACTAAGCCTAATGATCTTAACTAGGGGTTCTATTGCTGTGATGAAACACCATGACCAAAAACAGCTTGAGGAGTAAAGGGTTTATTTGGCTTTCATATCCTGAATCCCTTAAGGAAAGCTAAAACAGAAACTCAAACTCGGCAGGAACCTGGAGGCAGGAGCTGATGCAGAGGCCATGGAGGGTGCTGCTTACTGACTTGCTCTACATGGCCTACTCAGCCTGCTTTCTTATGGGATTCAGGACCACCAGTCCAGGGATGGTCCCACCCACAGTGGGCTGGGCCCTCCTGCATCAACCACTAATTAAGAAAATGCCTAACAGGCTTGTCTAACAACCCGAACTTATGGTGGCATTTTCTCAGTAAGGTTTACTCCCTCAGATGACTCTAGCTTATGTTAAGTTGACATAAAAACTAGCCAGGACAATTGACTCCTTGTCAACTTGACACACAAAAACAACACCATTTAACAATAACCTTTCCTTTTTTGTTCATCCCCAAGATTTCATATTAATAAATATCACAGTATAAAACACATTCCAAATTTAAATGTCCCACAATCTTTACAAATTCACTTTAAAAGTTCAGTCTTTTAAAAAAAATCCAAAGTCTCTTTTAGAATCCAAGGATTCTGTAAAATTCCAAAATTTAGAAGTTCAAAGTCTCGTAACTGCGTGCTTACACATCCTGAGTAAACTTGCTGTGTGCAGCAGTCCTACATTATGGTTGTCTGCAAGCATGGTGTGTGTCTGCTAGAGACCAGAGCATCAAGGGGGGTCCAGACACTTTGTTCTTCATGGCTGGCCCTGTCTGCAAACTCCAGAGCTATTGCTCTGTGTCTTGGTCTTATCCACTTGCAGAAGAGCCCACTGGCTTGTAAATGATCATGATCACTGCCATAGTTGAAAATGTGATCCATGGGGCTGGAGAGATGGCTCAGCAGTTAAGGGCACTGGCTGCTCTTCCAGAGGACCTGGATTCAATTCCCAGCAACCACATGGCAGCTCACACCTGTCTGTAGCTCCAGTTCCAGGGCTCTGACACTCTCACACAGACACACATGTAGGAAAAATACCAATGCACATGAAATTTTTAAAAATTCATTAAAAAGAAGAAGATGTGATTGGGGTCTTGCAGAATTGAGCCATTGTTTGATAATTTCCTCTAGGTAACTAATAAGAAAGTGGTCACTGGCAAGAACAACTTCACAGCCACCAGTAAGCACATGTTGTCATCTTGGTTGAGCATTCCTGACTGCCCCAAATGCGTCTACAGGTGAAGGTGAGCTGGGCTGTCTGGGTGCTAACTGGCCTTCCCTGTTTTCACTGACATAAGAAAAAAAAAGCAAGCAAGAAAAAAGATTATGTAATTTGAGTGAAACACTAAAAAACTCTTAATACACATAAGGGACTGGTTCAAAACTTCTAGTGCATTTCTTTATTTGAACGTTTTTGTTGAGATATTTACACTGTACACAATACATCTGGTTAAAGAAAAGAATTCAGGGATACTAAAGGATACAATGGAGTTGCATGTATGTCCAGTCAATGCTACAGTACTTATTTATTTTTATATAGTGCCTATTCTCTAGGTGTAATGCTGCACACCTTTAATCTCAACACTCTGGAGGCAGAGGCAGTGGGATCTCTGAGTTTGAGGCCAGGCTGATCCACACAGTGAGTTTCAGGCTAGTTAGGGCTTCATACTTTTGAGGCTATAACTCAAAAATGAAAATAGGGGCTGGAGGGATGGCTCAGTGGTTAAATTAAAGGCACTTGCTGCTTTTGCAGAGGACCTGGGTTCAGTTCCCAACATTCGCCTCAAATGGCTCGCAACAGTCTGTAACTCCATTCCCAAGGGATCCAATGCCCTCTGGCCTCTGAGAGAACTGTGTGCATGTGGTGTACACCAAATTACACAGACATATAGAAAGTCACACAGGCACACACATATGCATAAATACAGCTAATAAACCTGTAAAATGTGAAAAGTCTTCAAGAAATAAGTAGTACAAGTTAAGTTTTGCTTATATTTGCAAATCAAGCAAGGTTAAGACTACACCTGAACACTGCTAACTACATACAATATATGCAGGCTCTCCCTGCCTTTTGCTATTCTCTCTACACCCTCATGTACAGTCTCACCCTAGTCAGCCCTAGCTGGCCTGGAACTCACTTTGTAGACCAGGCTGGCCTTGGACCAGGCTGGCCTGTGAGGTTACTTTCAAGTGACCATATTTATATGTGTTGTGGTCACTTTTAAATTAAATTTGTTTATTTTGAGGTCATTTTAAAAAATTGATTTGATGTGCTAAGGGGGCAAACGCAGCTCTTCATGCTAGAGATGTGGTCTATCACTGAACCATGTTCTGAGTCCACCAACATTTAAGATAAGGATTTAGTTATTTAGTGTGGAGACCCACAGAGGTTTCCTAGTGAGATCTGAGCTTGCTTTACCCAGCAGGGCTGCATAAGGGGATGACTGGACCAGGAGCGTGGTTACCAGGTGTTTGGAAGAGTCTGCACTTGGCTGCGTGGTATGCTTTGATCTAGCAAGGGGGAGGTCTTTTGCCTCACCCCTTGGCATTGTTATAAAAAGCCCTTTTGAAGAGATAGAAGGGGCTGGTGGATTTTGATCCAGGTCCTTCCGAAGCTATCCTGTGTTTCTGTCTGTCTCCTCTCCACTATCTTTCTATCTAAAAATTTCTTATTCCTCTCTCCTCCTCATAGGAACCCTTTAAAAGGTGGGAGTTGGCCTCCCACAGATGGTGCCCTGAACAGGGACTTAGGTTCAGGGACCCCCACAAGTTAGTGTGCAACGATCCCCTGGAACTGGAGTAATAGACTATAGTGAGTCACCATGTCGGTGTTAGAAACCAAAGCCAGGTCCTCTGCAAGAGCAGGACTTAACAACTGAGCCACCTCTCCAGTTCAATTTTTTTTTTTTTTTTTTTTTTTTTTTTTGGTTTTTCGAGACAGGGTTTCTCTGTGTAGCTTTGCGCCTTTTCCTGGAACTCACTTGGTAGCCCAGGCTGGCCTCGAACTCACAGAGATTCGCCTGGCTCTGCCTCCCGAGTGCTGGGATTAAAGGCGTGCGCCACCACCGCCCGGCTCTCCAGTTCAATTTTTTAAATTTAAGTTTTGAGACAGGGTTTCATGGTGTGGCCTTCTCTGGTCTATAACCTCTATGCAGATTAGACTGGCTTTGAATTTACAGAAATCCTCTGGCTCCTGGAGTGCTGGGATGAAAAGACATGTATCACCACATAGAATAATCTTTATTTTTATGTGTATGAGTGCTTTGCTTGTATGGACGTATGTTGGTGCACCATGTGCTTGCAGTTTCCACAGAGGCCAGAAGAGGGCACTGGATGCCATGAAGTTGGAGTTACGAGCAGCAACGTGAGTGCTGGGAACTGAACCAGGGTCCTCTGAAAAAGCAGCCAGTGCTTTTAACCACGGAGTCGTTTCTTAAGGCTTGTTGAGGGCACTTTTAAATGTTCAAATTTAAATATGGTGCGTTCACTTTGAAGCATCTCTTTGTAAATTCGGGTCATACATAGTCGTGAGATGCCGACCAGCGTCGTGATAAGCTTGAGAGGCCATCAGTAGAATCTTCTCATTTCAGAATTAAAACAAATAAAAAGCACGCGAAGTGTGTGTGTGTGTGTGTGTGTGTGTGTGTGTGTGTGTGAAGGACACCTCTCGGGAGTCTCCTGTCATGTGGCCAGATTATCAGGCTCTCGGTAAGTGTCTTTTCCCTGCTGAGCCACCTGGCAGACCCTGTTTATTCTGTTTCTGCTTTGGCCTGTCCTCTTGCTTTGGACAAAGTGGCTCTCGCTTTATCTAGAAAGTAAATCTGGAAATTCCTGCGCCCGCTTCTGTCCCTTCATTCAGCTGGAGCTGCGACAAACACCAAAGAACAGGCCGTGGTCCCAGAATAAATCCTCACTAAAATGCCCTACTAGGCGACAGCCTTGGCAGGGCGGCTCCGGGAGCATCTCGGTGCTCAGCTGTCATTCAGGCAAAGGGGCGTGTCCGCGCCGGCTGTCCAATTAGAGACGCCGGCGTAAAGGCGTGGGAGCCACAGGGCGGAGGGCAAGGGGACCGCTAAGGCCCGTCACTCCTCATTCATGTTCGCACCCGGGTGTCGGCGCGGGAGGCGGGAGCCTGGGAGGACGCCGGGAAATGGTAGGTGAGGCCCGCCGGCCGAGGACGGGGAGGGACAATTGTAACCTGACGCAGCCGGGCGCGACGGGAGCCGGCCTCTGCTTCTGCTTTGGAGTCTGCGCGAGCGGCCGTCTTGGTTCGGCCTGGTTCGGCGCAGCTCGGCCCTGTCCAGCTCCGCTCGGCTCCTCTCGGCTCTGCCCGGCCCTGCTCGGCTCTGTTCGGCTCTGCCCGGCTCGGCTCTGCCCGGCTCGGCTCTGCCCGGCTCTGCCCGGCTCTGCCCCCCTCGGCTCTGCCCCCCTCGGCTCTGCCCGGCTCGGCTCTGCCCGGCTCGGCTCTGCCCGGCTCTGTTCGGCTCTGTTCGGCTCGGCTCTGCCCGGCCCGGCTCTGCCCGGCTCGGCTCTGCCCGGCTCGGCTCTGCCCGGCTCGGCTCTGCCCGGCTCGGCTCTGCCCGGCTCGGCTCTGCCCGGCTCGGCTCTGCTCGGCTCTGCCCGGCTCGGCTCTGCCCGGCTCGGCTCTGCCTGGCTCTCCTCTCTGCCCACCTAGCCCCAGCTCCGCTAGGCTCCGACCCGCTCTGTCCCGCACCGCTAATCCAATGTGGTGACTCCGGGCTCAGGTGCGGAGTCACGCGGATTCCCAGCCCGTCCTGGCTCCCCGAATAACGGGACCTGTTTCCCTTTAAGTTTTCCAGAATTGTGGGCGGGAGGGTCCCGAATGCACGACTCCGTGCTTCTCTCTTGGCTCTCCCTAAATCCCCAGGTTTTCAAATGGCAATCTCCCTTCCATTTGATTGCATCTTGTGTCAGCTGTCACCAGTGGTGCGTTCCAACCAGAGGCAGTGTTTTAATTATAATTTTAGAACAAATGAACTATCTTTACTTTTTTTTTCTTTCCCAAGATTTTTGATCCTCTTTTTGAAATTATTTACTTATTGTGAAGGGGGACGGGTGTTGTCAGAGCCAGTGTGTGGAGGCCGGGGACAATTTGCTGCATTAGGCTCTCCTAAGGGATCGAACTGAGGTGGTCAGGCGTGGTCAAAAGCGCCCCTACTTGGTGAGACGTCTCGATGTTACTGTGACTGTTTAAAAAAAATTTTTTGCCCCCCTGGGCGGTGGTGACGCAGGCCTTTGATTCTGGAATCCGGGAGGCAGAGGCAGGAGGATCTCTTGAGTGGCCAGACTGGTCTTCAGAGTGAGTTCTAGGACAGTCAGGGTTACATAGAAAAACCTTGTCTAAAAAAGAAAAAAAAATTAGAGATTCTTTTTTACTGTGTGTGTCTGTGTTGAGTGTATGCTCTGTGAGTGTGTGCGTGTGTGTGTGCGTGCGCGCGCGCGCGTGTGTGAGTGTGTATGTGTACGTGCGTGCTCGTGTTTGTGCCCATGTATGTCAGAAGAGGCCTAGAATTACAGGCAGTTCTGAGTTGCCTGATGTGGGTACTAGGATTTGTTAAGTCTCACTCAGGACAGATGCCTAACTGAGAAGCTTATTTTACATGTCAAAGCGGACTCTGGCTGCCAGTCTATCCCAGCAACTCCACTACAGGATCATTCTGGCTGGCATACCCCGCCTCTTGCCCTAAACTCTCTAGCCCAGGGACTGGGCTGGGCCCCTTCCCCAGGCTTCTGATTCCTATTTAACCTCAGCCATGGGCTACACCCCTTTGCCTCCTGGTCTCTGGGTTCCCTCTTTTTGCTCCCTCTCTCTTCTCCTCCTTTCTGGCTCTGCCCCCACCCCTGTCCCCATGATCTGGTTCAGTCTCGACCTTCCAGATGCTTCTAGCTATGCCTTCCTCATATCTACAATAACCCCCCTCATCCATACATTAGAGCAGTCATTTCTTCATTTCGTTCATGATCCAAACACAGGTCTTTTTTTTTTTTTTCATGTTCTCCCCAACACACAAATGCTTTATCAATACAACGTATATAAACTATAAGGAAGGAAGAAGTGCATTCAGGGTGCAGAGAGCTCTGGGAGGAGGTTGCAACAGGTAGATGCTCACGGTAGGAAGGGTGTCTTCAGAGGAAAGGCAGGTTCAGGTGTGGCAGCTGCTCAAGCCTCTCTCCTTGCTCACGATCTATCGTGAGAGGCACTCCATTCAAAGGGAAGTATGCAGTCTGATTTGTGGGAGAGCAGTGAGCCTTGGCTGGACGTGTTATAGAAGTATGTCTGGAGAACACAGAATCGTGTGGGCTTCTTTATGAGGGAGTGTGCCAGTCTCACGTCCTTCTTTACATTTAAATACATGGGATGTTTTAGGACTCGGTGGCTTTCGAGGATGTGGCTGTGAACTTCAGCCATGAGGAGTGGGCTCTGCTGGACCCGTCTCAGAAGAAACTGTACAGAGATGTGATGCAGGAGACCTTCACTAACTTGGCTTCCATTGGTAAGAATAAAATTATCCTTAAACCTAGATTATTAGAAAACAAATATTTCTTGCTCATTAATGAGATTTCAGTATTCAGCATGTAAGAAGGAATAGTTAGGCAAGCAGGTGTGCAAGAATATCATGGTATGGTTCACCACGGACCTAGAGTCTGTGAATTTTTCTGTCATTTGTAATGTTGTTTTTTTTTTTTGTTTGTTTGTTTTGTTTTTTCTCTTAGGGGAAAATTGGGAAGACCAGAGCCTTGGGGATGAGTACGAAACCCAGGGAAGAAATATAAGGTGAGTTGTACTCATAAAAGAAACTGGAGTCCCATGATGGAGTCTTAGTATGCTGTGGGAAACAACACCAAGAACCCAATGTCCTGTTTATTTATTTTTAGAAAACTTTCATGAGGAGTTTTTTTTTTTTAATATTTTTGATGCTGGAGGAATGACTGAGGGGTTAAAGGTATTTTTTGCTCTTGTGAAGGACCTGGTTTCAATTCTCAGCACCCAAATCAAGTGGTTCACAACCTCCAGTAAATCCAACTCCAAAAGATATGATGTCCTCTTCTGGCTTCCTTGGGTACTGCACCTACATGTTACACATACAGGCAAGCAGGTGCACACACACAAATATTTAAAATTGTAAGTATTTATTTTAAATTATTTGTGTCTGAGTTAATATACATTTGTGCATGGCCTGAGGAGGCCAGAAGAGGATGTTGGGTCACCCAGTTACAGGCAGTTGGGGGTTGTCCACTAGGGGTGGATGCTGGGAACCAAACTCAGGAGCTCTGGAAGAACAGCAAGTGTCCTTAACCGCTGTGACATCTCCCTAGCCCTCAAGCCCCCAAGATTATGGCATTGTTTTCTTTCTCTTTTTTTAAGATTTATTTGTTTTAATTTATGTGTCCCTGTGTGGGTATGCACACATGAGTGCAGCTACCTACAGAAGCCAGAGGGCGTAAGATTTCCTGGAGAGCTGGAGGTGGTTATGAGCCACCTGATGTGGGTGTTGGGAACTAAACTCAGGTCCTCTGTAAGAGCAGCCAGGGCTCTTAACTGTTGAGATATCTCTCCAGCTTCTCACCAAGAACTTTTAAAAATGACATAGCTGTGCAATATTCAAAGAATAACTCACCTTGAAACAGTATTAAGAAACTGCACATCAAAGCAGCCGAAAAAGAAACTACACATTATGAATATCACTTACACTTTTTAGATGTACTTGTTTTATGTATGTGAATGTTTTGCTTCCATATATGTGTACCATGTGCATGTCTAGTACCTGCAGAGGTTAGAAGAGGGTGCTGGTTCTTAGATCTGGAGTTACAGACAGTTGTGAGCTATCACATGGGTGCTGGGAACAGAATCTCAGTCATCTGCAAGAGCAACAAGTACTCTTAAAAAATAGTATCAACTTTTATTCAAAAGACAAAAAGGAAACTCAGCCAGGAAAAAAAAACCTGTAAGCTACCAATGATTCTATGTGTACAGAAATTAAATAAACACTGGTTTCACAAGTCACACAAAATTAACTCCAAGTGACCCCTTAAATTGTTAACTTTCTGACTCTCCAACTCTGGGCATTTCCTCCAGATAGGCCCCAAGCTCCAGAGCTCTGCAAATGGAGGTGATCTCCTCCAGAGCCTACTATAGCTCTACGGCCCCTCGTGTTGCTTGTGGTTTCAGGCAAACCCAACCCCAATGATGCCCAATCACAAAACAGTGTTGAAGAATAATTTAATATTTGCTTCCTGCCACATGGGTTGTGTCACAAGATGTGTGGCATCTGCCTTATTCACCTGCCATACGCCATGCAAACCTGAGATACCTCTACAGCTCAGAAACTCATTTGTGCCCTGGAACTGGACTTCACAGAATCACACCATGGTGGCTGACAGTAGCAAAAAGTTGAAAACATTCTAATCATGGATTGCTGGAGGACGATGCCCATCACATCCTTTCTACTAGTTTCTAAGCTATGTAACGTTTGTAAGACTTACCTGAGAGTGGATTATAACATTCAGAACTTCTAGAAACCAGACCTTCAGTTTTCCAATCTGTCTTCCCACTGCACAGCAGAAGCAAAGCCTGTGTGTGCACATTGTGCAGTGATATTACAAGCTCATAGTCCTCCATGCCAGGATGGCAGAGCTACCCCTCCCCAGGAAATCCACACTCAACAAACTCTGAGGCTAATGGACACTGCCCAGGTCACCACAGGGACCAACAGAACCTCAGTCTGGCTCATGGTCCATCCCAGACCAAGCAGCTTTGACAGCTCAGCCAACCTTCTCTTCTTGGTCTGGGGACAGTGGCCCCCACACTCACCATGGCATAGATTTTGGTCTTCCTTATAGCTCCTTACAGCAAAACAAGTGCAGAATCCTGCAAAGAACCTGTAAGCTACTTCCCACTGGTACTCCTGAATGCTAAGCCTTGCTGGAGTTCCTCATTAGCTTGGAATATCCACCTGGACTTCAGGACATTCCCCTCCCAGTTGAGCAGAGACCAGATAACTCATATAGCCCAAACTTTCCCAGCTCTGCCCTTCCCCGCTAAGGCGAGATGGCTCTAATCTGGGAAATTTGTACTTTGGTAAAATTTTCATTTCCCTAGAGCACTTCCTGTTCCTCTTCTAAGGCACAGGGTTCTATGTGTGCATGTTCCATTTCACACTCAATGTCCAGTGCAGCCAAGCTTTTGCTTCATAGTTGGGAGGTCCTGTAGCCAAACACAGGTCACATTCAAACAGTAACTGTTGTCAAACAAAAGGGGCCATGGATGAGAACACAATGAAGGGACTATGGGAGGGCTGTTTCAACTTTTTTTTTTTTTTTTTTTTTTTTTGGTTTTTCGAGACAGGGTTTCTCTGTGTAGCTTTGCGCCTTTCCTGGAACTCGCTTTGGAGACCAGGCTGGCCTCGAACTCACAGAGATCCGCTTGGCTCTGCCTCCCGAGTGCTGGGATTAAAGGCGTGCGCCACCACCGCCTGGCTCTGTTTCAACTTTTTTTTTTTTCTTCTTTTTTTTTTTTTTTTTTTCGAGACAGGGTTTCTCTGTGTAGCTTTGCGCCTCTCCTGGAACTCACTTGGTAGCCCAGGCTGGCCTCGAACTCACAGAGATCCGCCTGGCTCTGCCTCCCGAGTGCTGGGATTAAAGGCGTGCGCCACCACCACCCGGCTCTGTTTCAACTTTTTTTTTTTTTTTTTTTTTTTTTGTTTTTGTTTTTGTTTTTTGTTTTTCGAGACAGGGTTTCTCTGTGTAGCTTTGCGCCTTTCCTGGATCTCGCGCTGTAGACCAGGCTGGCCTCGAACTCACAGAGATCCGCCTGCCTCTGCCTCCCGAGTGCTGGGATTAAAGGCGTGCGCCACCACCGCCCGGCTGTTTCAACTTTTTAACAGAATTTTTTTGGGATTAAAATTGCAACAAGTACTCTTAACTGCTGAGCTGTCTCTCCAGCCCCAATATCACTGTTTTGATAGTAGCTATGGTTAAACTCTTTCAAAGGACTCATTATATACATGCCACCTGAAAACTGAAAAAGTATGTCATTGATATCCTTAATCTTTGATTATAATCGTTAATAAAGAAACCACTGATAATATAATTCTCATTCTTCACAGAGCTCATGTAGAACAGAGACCCTGTGAATGGAAAAGTCCATGTAGGGAAACCTTCATCCAGGTTCCAGTTCTTAAACAGAACAAGAAAATTCTTCCCGGAGTAAAACCCTATGAATGCAGTGTGTGCAGAAAAGTTTACATGTGTCATTCATCTCTTAAAAGGCATATGAAATCTCATACTGAACACAAACAGTATGAGAATCACAAATATGGAGAAAAGTCATATGAATGTAAAGAATGTGGGAAAACATTCAACTTTCGAAGTTCATTTCGAATACATGAAAGGACTCACACTGGAGAGAAACCCTACGAATGTAAACAATGTGGGAAAGCTTTCAGTTGGCCCAGTTCCTTCCAGATACATGAAAGAACGCACACTGGAGAAAAACCCTATGGGTGTAAGGAATGTGGCAAAGCCTTCATTTATCATACCACCTATCGAGGACACATGAGGATGCACACAGGTGAAAAACCCTATCAATGTAAAGAATGTGGGAAGACTTTCAGTCATCCCAGTTCATTTCGAAACCATGAAAGAACTCACTCTGGAGAGAAACCCTACAAATGTAAACAATGTGAAAAAGCTTTCAGATATTACCAAACTTTTCAAATACATGAAAGGACCCACACTGGAGAAAAACCTTATCAGTGTAAACAGTGTGGGAAAGCCCTCAGTTGTCCCACATCTTTTCGAAGTCATGAAAGGATTCACACTGGAGAAAAACCATATAAATGTAGAAAATGTGGCAAAGCCTTTAGTTTTCCCAGTTCCTTTCGCAAACATGAAAGAATTCACACTGGAGAGAAACCTTATGATTGTAAGGAATGTGGGAAAGCATTCATTTCTCTTCCAAGCTTTCGAAGACATATGATAATGCACACTGGAAATGGGCCTTATAAATGTAAAGAGTGTGGGAAAGCCTTCGATTGTCCCAGCTCATTTCAAATTCATGAGCGAACACACACTGGAGAGAAACCCTATGAATGTAAGCAGTGTGGGAAAGCCTTCAGTTGTTCTAGTTCTTTTCGGATGCATGAAAGGACTCACACTGGTGAGAAACCCCATGAATGTAAACAGTGTGGGAAAGCCTTCAGTTGTTCCAGTTCTGTCCGAATACATGAAAGGACTCACACTGGAGAGAAGCCCTATGAGTGTCAACAGTGTGGTAAGGCCTTTAGTTGTTCCAGTTCCTTTCGAATGCATGAGCGAGTTCATACTGGAGAGAAACCCTATGAATGTAAGCAATGTGGTAAGGCCTTTAGTTTTTCCAGTTCTTTTCGGATGCATGAAAGGACTCACACTGGAGAGAAGCCTTATGAATGTAAGCAGTGTGGGAAAGCCTTCAGCTGTTCCAGTTCTTTTAGAATGCATGAAAGGACTCACACAGGAGAGAAACCTTATGAATGTAAGCAATGTGGGAAAGCCTTCAGCTGTTCCAGTTCCATTCGAATACATGAAAGAACTCATACTGGAGAGAAACCTTATGAATGTAAACAGTGTGGTAAGGCCTTCAGCTGTTCCAGCTCTGTGCGAATACATGAAAGAACTCACACTGGAGAGAAGCCCTATGAGTGTCAACAGTGTAACAAGGCCTTCAGTTGCTCCCGTTCTTTTCGGATCCATGAAAGAACTCACACTGGAGAGAAACCTTATGAATGTCAACAGTGTGGGAAAGCATTCAAGTGTTCTCGTTCCTTTAGAATACATGGAAGAACCCATAATGGACAATGATTCTTTAGATGCAAATCATGCGATAAAACCTCCAGTGTCCCATTACCCTTTGATGATACAAAAAGACTCTTGCTTAGCAAAACCTTGTGAATAAAATAAAAATATGGAAAACTTTTCAGTTCTCTACATGTGAATCCCAGGAAACAACTCAGACTAATAAAAATCCCTGTGACTGTAGGTGATGGGTCAGTGGTCATGCAACTTAGTGAGGCCACATAAATATAGAGAAGAAAAACACTGTACATTAGCTAATGTGTAAAAGCCTTCAGGTGCTCAGTTATCTGGAAACCACAAGCTGTAGTACAGAGCAGCTTAATGAGTGCAAGCATTGTGGGAAAACCATCAGTAGTCTGTAGCTTCACAAACATATGAAGGGGCTCACTGGATAGAACCCTTACAAAAGTGAAAACTAATGGTTAATTTCCCATTTTATCGAGTGCTCACATGATACTCGCTTGTGAAACAGTGAGCTCTTGAAGACAACCACTGGAAAGGAATCCTAGAAGTATAGATAACATTGGAAAATTCCATGCAAGTTAGTATATGTATATTTTAGAAAAGTCATAATATGAAAGAAATGTAATTATTTTTTGTCAGTTGCTCATTCTTAAAAGTGTGACTCTAGACTATGGATTTCTGTTACTTATGCATATGAACATGGAGGTTAGATAATTCTGTAAGCCCTCATTAAACAATAGTACACAAATTTAATAAATTTAATAAAATTTATTATTTTTTTTATTTTGAGACAGGGTTTCTCTGTAGCCCTGGCTGTCCTGGAACTCACTCTGTAGACCAGGCTGACCTCAGACTCAGAGATCTGGGATTAAAGGTATGCACCACTATGTCTAGCTTTATAAGTAGTGTTTTTATTAAACCTGTTACTCTAATGTTCCCTTTCCTTTTTGAAATCTGTTGGAATCATCAGTGAAGGGAAGTGTATTGCTAATATGAATTTTTTTTCATAATTTTTGTTTAAATTTTTTTTCTGTAATGGGCTATTAAAAGATATCAATTTAGTTATTGATGAGAATTTTCCTCTTGTGTTCTAGATCTTCCTTTTATTCATTATATGTGTTCTTTTTAAAAATGATTCATTGGGCCGGGCGGTGGTGGCGCACGCCTTTAATCCCAGCACTCGGGAGGCAGAGCCAGGCGGATCTCTGTGAGTTCGAGGCCAGCCTGGGCTACAGAGTGAGTTCCAGGAGAGGCGCAAAGCTACACAGAGAAACCCTGTCTCGAAAAACAAACAAACAAAAAAAACCAAAAACAAAAATGATTCATTGGCCGGGCGGTGGTGGTCACTCCTTTAATCCCAGCACTCGGGGGGCGGGGGCAGAGCCAGGTGGATCTCTGTGAGTTCGAGGCCAGCCTGGACTACAGAGTGAGTTCCAGGAAAGACTCCAAAGCTACACAAAGAAACCCTGTCTCGAAAAACAAACAAAAAAATTTATTTTTTTATTATTTTAAGTTTGTGTGTGTGTATGGGGTGTGCACATGAGTTGGGGTGCCCACGGAGTCCAGAACAAGGTTTTGGATCCCTAGCAGAAGAGTTACAGAACTGTGTAAGCCGCCTTGCATGGGTGCTGGGAACATACTCAGTCCTCTGCAACTGCAGTGCCTCCTCTTAATCCCTCAGTGGCTCTCTACTCCATCCACGATACACTTTCAATCTTTTTTATTATTTATTGAAGGTTTTTTATTTTCAATTTTTATTTATTTATTTATTCATTTATTTATTTATTGCGGAGGACATAAATGTCCTATCTAACATAAGTGCCCTCAAATCTGTAATCCTTCTGCCTTAGAATCCCAAATCCTGGGATTATGAGCATGCACCATCATGCCTAGTTTATTTATTCTGATCCAAAGAAGCTTATTTGAGGCAGGAAAGAATCTTATTGTCTTCTGTGATAATTACTTGCTATAAATATGTGAGTATGCCAAGTTTATGTAATACTATCTCAGTTGTGGAACTTTATGTTTTTTTAATCTATTTTTATTGCTTGTTTTGTGGAGCTGAGGATGGAACCTATGTCCCTGAACATGCTGGACAAGTGCTGTACTACCGAGTCACATTCTTACCTTGCCTTTTTTTTTCTTTTTTGAGACAGTCTCATTATGCAGCCCTGGCTGCCCTGTAACCCTGCAACTCACTCTGCAGACCAGGTTATACTCCTAGAGATCTGCCTGCTTTTGCTTCCCAAGTATTGGGATTGAAGGTGTGCAGCACTATATTTTACTCATTTAAAAATTAGTATGGTACACACACAGAGAGCAATGTGTGTTTGTGAGCGTAGGTGCATGCTGGCATTGTGCACTTGTGGTCAGAGAACAACTTTTGGAAACTGGTTCTTTCCTCCCAGCATGGTATCTAGGGACTGAACTGCGATCACCAGGCTTGTAATGTGTCGTAGTCAGTGTTCTATTGCTGTGAAGAGAGACCATGGCCATGGCAACTGTTATAAAGGAACACATTTAGTTGGGGCTGGCTTACAGTTCAGAGGTTCAGTCCATTATCATCATGGTGGGTGGCATTCAGGCACCATGGCCATGGCAACTGTTATAAAGAAACACATTTAGTTGGGGCTGGCTCACAGTTCAGAGGTTCAGTCCATTATCATTATGGTGGGTGGCATTCAGGCAGATGTGGTGTTGGAGAAGGAGCTGAGAGTTCTACATCTTGATCCGTAGGCAACAGGAAGTGAACTGTCTCACACTGGGCATAACATGAACACACACACACATTTATATATATATATATATATATATATATATATATATATATATATATATATGACCTCAAAGCCCACCCACCCATAGTGACACACCTCCAACAAGGCCACATCTACTCCAAGGCTGTACTTCCTAGTAGTGGCCACTCTATAGGCCAGGCATCCAAGCCCATCCAAGATCCATGGGGGCCATACCTATTCAATCACCACATACAGTAAGCACTTTTTATCCACTGAACCATCTTGTAGGCCCTGTCTTATATTTTGATCCTTACTTGTCATTTCTTCTGACTGTATTTGTATAATAGACTTTGTGTTAGAAAGCAAGACCTATGATAGCATGATCTAGAGTTGTAAATGGCTTTCTGGGGCTGTTAGTGTGGATAACATTTTGGCTTTTTTTTTTTTTTTTTTTGCTATTAGCTCTGACCCCCAGGCAACTGTATTTATTAACATACAAATAAAATCACATTTCAGTACAAATAAAATATCACCATATATCCCCTTTTCTATTTTAATAAAAAGAAAAAAGGAAAAAGTTATAACTAATATAAGAAAAACTATATACAGAAGTACAATAAGTATATACCATATATACAAGCAATAAATACCTAAACAATGTCTAGTCCATTTGTATTTGACAAATTCAGAGAAAATAACTCCATTACCTATCCTATTTTGGTAAGTCCAAAATGTACCTGATTCACTTTCTATCCTAACTAATCTTAAACTATAACTAACTAATCTTCAACTCCCTCAGAGACCCAAGAAGGAAATATTACCTAACAAAAATAAAAACAGGAAGTGCACGCAAGCAGCTTCCAAAAAAAAATGTGAGTTGACAGAAACAGCCAGCTGCCTGGACAGTCACCTGAGGTTTCTCTGCAGTGCTGGGGCATCATCTTCAGCCTATGGGCTTAGCGTATCTGACAGACTCATTTGTGAACTAGGATGTACACAAGGTCAACAGTTTGACCTCATATTTGGTGAGAGCAGTCCATGTACCAGAAACACCTGAATTCCACTAGTGTCATGTCATGATTCAGGATTTGTTTTGGCTTTTTTTAAAGACAGGATCTCAGACAGGGTTTCTCTGTGTAGTTTTGGTGCCTGTCCTGGATCATGCTCTGTAGACCAGGCTGGCCTTGAACTCACAGAGATCTGCCTGGCTCTGCCTCCCAAGTGCTGGGACTAAAGGCATGTGCCACCACTGCCCAGCTCTTGAATGTCTTTAAAACGTTTCATTTATGGGTGTTTGTACATGTGTACAGGTGTCCACAGAGGCTAGAAGAGGGTGTTGGAGCCCCTGAAGCTGGAGTACAGGCAGTTTGAGCCAGCTGACTGTGGTGCTGGGAACTGAACTCCAGGCCTCTGTAAGAGGGCAAGCAGTCCTAACTGGTGAGCCATCTCTCCAGCCTAAGCCTGATGTTCGAATCCTCCCGCTCTGCCTTCCACCTCCTGAGTGCTGGCATTACAGGGACAGCATCCGTTTATGAGGTGCTGGGGATTGAACCCAGGGCTTCATATATGCCAGGCAAGCACTCTACCAACCGAGCTCCAGCTCAGCCCACAGCTTGTTTTCTACAGCTCATGTGTTGTGGGTCCTCATCAGACCATTGTTGGTCCACTTGCATGCCTCGGGAGGAGTGAAAAGGAACATCCGTCGGGTTCTTAGTCCCACCTGTGCAACTGAAAACTGTGCTGGAACTCCAGGAATACTTGTTTTGACCTCATTTTCCTGATGCTTTGCCTGCCAATTCAGAGTATGCTCATGGGACTGGAGATAGAGATCAGTGCATACGCAAGGCACAGGGCTCTAGTCCCATCGTTACAGAAGTGAAAAGGTACCAACTCTTAAAACTGATGCTTAAAATTTCAGTCACTATTTTTTACCTTGAAGTAACATTTTCTTTTGGGGGACAGCTTCTCATATAGCACGGATTGGCCTCAAACTCCCTGTGTAGCAAGGGTGACCTTGAACTTTTGTTTTGAAAGTTTTGAGGCAGGCTAGGAAGACAGGGAGGGCCAAGCATGGTGGCACACACCTTTAACCCCAACACTCAGGAGGCAGAGGCAGGCAGATCTCTGAGTTCCAGGCCAGCCTGGTCTACAGAGGGAGTTCCAGGACAGGCAGGGAACCAACATAGAGAAACTCTGTCCTGAAAAGCCACCTCCCTGCTCCCCCAAAAAAGACAGAAGAATTAAGGAGACAGGAGAAAGAACTCCTAACTCCCCTGGAGCTGGTTTAAACCTTTTACTGGCTCTAAGCCAAACATGTGACCTTTTGAGTTTAATCTTGCCGGCACGCACTTCATGTGTGAGCCTGTATATTTCTGAGAAAAACTCACAGATGGAATTATATACCATGTTTACAGTAAAACAA